GAAGTATTTGTGCTATGAAATACGTTTTTAACACGAGTAAAAGCTGCAGCACTGCAGTGTAAGCACACCACTGATCTTCTGCTGTACCCGAGCTGCAATTCAAGCATTTGGAGAATGGGATGAGGCCATTGTTTTTAATTAGATTTCCTTTTTCCGAGAATTTAATGCAGAAGTTGCTCTTTGGTTATGTAAAAATTCAATAGGCAAGGCAGATGGATTATAGCTGAGGAGCTTCACTGATCAACTGTGATGCATTTTCTATCTAACAGGAGAAACAAAAGCAAATAATCACATTGGAAAGTTTTTCCATTTTAATTTACATCAGAGAATCATGACTGTTGGCTCCAATGCGCTACTGCTCTCTGCTGGAGGAACATTATATTACAGCCATCTAACATGCCTGTTTTAGTTTGAATATCATTGCATTACATAACACATTATCAAAGCAAGTGACATTTATTGTAAAGAAATGTAGTTTACAATTAGTATTGTGCCAATTTATGGCGGTGAAATGTGTCCATAGGCCAAAGTTGATGTGATAAATTATGCTGAACTACTTTAATCAGTATTTTAGTCTCGTGCAGCATTTGTCTGTATGTCACTTGCTTTTGACATTTTATTTAATGCAATGAAATACAGTTGTATGCATTAGTACCAGTTCAATCAAACTGTTTTGCTCCATAAGAAAAGTCTTGAATTAAAAAATGTATATGGAAACTGCATTTGATCTTTCATCAAAAAAAAAAAAAGTATTCAGTTCACGTTAGGTAACCCATACATATTTAAATTCACATTTTATATTGAATTCACTTTACTGTAAACACTGGAACCAAAAAAAACTTTTCCCGCGTTATTGGAATTGTACGGGAGTTTAAAAAAAAAAAAAGCCTCCAATTTGAGCAAAATTAGATTTTTTTTTTTTTTTCAAATCCATTTTTCACTTGATGGCTTACTTCTGAACTGCTCCCACGGCGGAGAAGAAAATAACAGTTGCCAATCAGTTGCCACTACAGAAGTATTTGTGCTATGAAATACGTTTTTAACACGAGTAAAAGCTGCAGCACTGCAGTGTAAGCACACCACTGATCTTCTGCTGTACCCGAGCTGCAATTCAAGCATTTGGAGAATGGGATGAGGCCATTGTTTTTAATTAGATTTCCTTTTTCCGAGAATTTAATGCAGAAGTTGCTCTTTGGTTATGTAAAAATTCAATAGGCAAGGCAGATGGATTATAGCTGAGGAGCTTCACTGATCAACTGTGATGCATTTTCTATCTAACAGGAGAAACAAAAGCAAATAATCACATTGGAAAGTTTTTCCATTTTAATTTACATCAGAGAATCATAACTGTTGGCTCCAATGCGCTACTGCTCTCTGCTGGAGGAACATTATATTACAGCCATCTAACATGCCTGTTTTAGTTTGAATATCATTGCATTACATAACACATTATCAAAGCAAGTGACATTTATTGTAAAGAAATGTAGTTTACAATTAGTATTGTGCCAATTTATGGCGGTGAAATGTGTCCATAGGCCAAAGTTGTTGGGAATATATCGCGGCGGAAGCTCGATGGGGCTCGACGGGCGCGTTTGATGCGAGGATCTTGTGCGGGATCGTGAAGCGCTCGCGGCCTCCCGCATCAACAGACGCTCCTCTATATCGCGCAAAGCGCACGCAGCTGCTGCAGCGGCAGGGTTTCTGCGTTTGCAGCGCAGTCTGACAGCCAGGTGCTTCAGTGATTTCCTACAATGCCCTTCACGTTGTAGTATACACTAGATATATCCTGCCAGTCAGCACCTCTGGAGGAAACCCTTAATATTGTGGTGACACCCTTTTGGGGTGTCGTGTTGAGTGCATTTCTATTATTTTGTGGTCAAATACAGGCTACACTCCTAAACGTTACGTTTGCGAACCTAAAATGGTACCCTTATTACTCATTACACCACCCAAATAATCACTATACTGTACTACAATTGCGCCTTTACAGTGAATGTGTACTTTGGGATTCAAATGTTCCCTAAAAAGGTGCATTATTTGGTACCTTTATGGGTGCAGATTTTGTCCTGTAGAATTATGCATATTATGGTTTAAAAAAGTTAATTTTGTGGACCTAATATAGTACATAGCCTTATGTACTGTTGTATTACCGGTTTGCGTTACTGGATTGTTTATTCAAAGCGAATATGTAAAAAAAAATACACATTTTATATAAATGTATATTAGTGCTGTCGAACGATTAATCGCATCCAAAATAAAGTTTTTGTTTACATAATATATGTATGCTGTTTATATTTATGTGCATGTATAAATACACACACATGCAAGTATATATTTCATAAAAATGTGTTATGTTTATATGCTAAATATATATTTTTTATAATATACATTTTATGAATATAAACATGTAAATAGTATACATGTGAATATTTTGAAAATATATACTGTATGTGTGTGTACTAATATATGCATAATAAATATACACAGAACACGCATATTATACAAACAAAATCTTATATTTTGTATGTGATTAATCGCAATTAATCGTTAGATAGCACTAATATATATAGGCCTATATATCCTACTGTATATGTATAAAATATATACACTTTTGTTTTGTGTATATGTGTGTGTGTGTGTGTGTGTATGTGTATATATATATATATATATATATATAGGAATGAGACCTCTACAACCAAGGTCATAATGGTATGATTCACGAAAAAGAATCGTTCTTATTCTACTTTACAGTGTGTGTATATTAAAGGGCTGAATTGCTTTTCTTGCTCAACGGTCAAGTTTGTGTGGGCCGCGAGAGGTTTAGCCTTTTAATTTCAGTCCAGATCTTAAGCATTAAGATGCATTACTTCTGAATGAGTGAACGAGGGACTAAAGGTCGCTAAACAGAACCCGTTCTCACACATTGATGTGATTTATCAGTGACCGGAATGAAGCACGCACTATTTGAAGGGAAATAACTCAAGCAGGACCGTAAACTGACAGTATTGTGTCTAAAAAAAAAAAAAACGAAGCACACCGACTGTATTTGGACTCGGAGCCATTAACTCACTGGCATGACTGCATGTGCGCTGCAATTGAAATGTTTTATGACTCATTTCCCACATTATCACAAAACGAGTTGACCCGTAAAATCCACTCTCTGAAGTGTTAATACCTTCCTGTTGGTGTATCTGTGAACATTTACGACTTGGATCTGAAAAAGAGGAGACCTAATGCAGACTTCATCCCGTGAACACCCAGACTTGGGCAACTTTAAAGCGAGGTCTCTTTTCTCAGTATGCATTGGTGCTCTCTCAACATCATGCATCTTTTATCTTGTTTTAAATGCTGAGCTGAGAGCACAGGTTCCATAGGTATTTATTAGCTGGACTCGTGTGGCTTTTAAAGCCTGTGATCAGAGGGTTTTCCTCGACGCCGCATCTTCTGATAACATCAGAAAGAATTTCTGCTCGTCATTTGAGAAAGTGCAGCAGCACCCTCGCAGATCAGATAAACATCTAAATCATGATTTGACGGTGATCAAATGTCTGGGAAAAAATTGTAGGGTATTATTTCATTTCAGTCTACTTCCTGTGACTGTACAGGAAATGCCTGCTTGAAATTCCTCCTGAATGAAAAGTGGAGCCACGTTATGATGACCGTTTTAATCTAGCTAAAGGGATGCAGGTCTGTGTATAATGCTGTTTATAAGACCTTCAACTTCATAATTGGACACTTATGTGCAAAAATGAAAATTCAATGAGGGGAAAAAAGATTTAATCCATTGAGAAATGTGAAAAGTAAAAATGCTTAACATATTATTGTTATTGGAATAATATGTGCAATAAGATAATAATAGTGCATTAAAGTACATTTTTATTTCTTGTTGACTTTAAAATGATTAGGCCTAATTCATGAAACAAAAACAGAATGAAAATAATTTGTAAAACCATTTTTTGTTGTTGCGTTGAATTAAATGACAGTTTAATCTTTTACACAGATAATAAATGGGTTCATTCTTTAACCAATTCTGTTTTGTGGGATTATATATTTATCAGATATGCATATGGAATTTATAAGTAGATGAGGTTATGCATAGTGGAAATGGGTGTAATACGCTCGGGGGAAATTTTGTGCATATGCAAAATCTATCTTTTGTGCATACACGCACTTTTGGGATGAAATCTAGGCAAACTTTTATATGAGACGCCCCAGAAATGTGTATTAAAAACGTGAATTCATCCTAAAGATATGTGTACACACAGAAGGCAGATTTGGCAAATGCACGAAATTTCACTTATAAAACCACGCATGTGTCTTCCCCCAAAATTTCCATATAAAACTGTTGGCTTTACAAATGCAAAATCTGACATCAAAATGTTGTGCATCCATACCTTTAGGTTGCAATCTAAGCACAGTTTTATATGTGAGGCCCCAGAAATGTGCTTTAAGAAAGCGAAAAGGTCTAATGTTATGGAAAATGAAAAAACAAATTGGCCTTGAAGCTAGGGTTGCAAAGGGGTGCAAAATTTCCGGAAACTTTCCAAAAATCCCTGGAATATTCCAAAAAATGTTTCCGAAATTTACTGGAAATTCTCACCGTTTTGAAACTTGAAGCAAGAACAAAGTTGTTTGTAAAACCATTATTGCGTAAATGGTTGCACTAAAATGAATGTGACATGTTTTTATGGATGCTTTACACAGAAATGAGTTTTTGTTCATCATTTTGGAAATGTGTTTTTGTGGGATTGTTAGCTGTTGTATGCAACCCTAGAAATGCTGTTTATTAATTACAGCTCAATGTAATTAGCATTGTAGAGTAAAAAGCCTCTTGTTAAGAATGAATCCTATTCCTCTGCTTTCTATTTCAGTTGGGATCACCGTTTAATTTGTCTTAATTCAGCGCAGCTGGAATTAAGACAACTATTGACTTCATACCCCAGTGACTTCACCCGGCAATCTGCTAATGCAATCGTGTGAATTCTGTTGTTTTTCCAGGGCCAAGATGTCTAGTGAGGTGCAGAGACCAGATGATAGCCCCAGCACAAGCGGAGGGAGTTCAGATATCGAGCAGCGGGAGACGGCACCTCCTCAGCAGGAGCGTGATCTGGTTGCGCCCAAGAAGAAGGAGACCAAGATCTCCAGTAAAACCGCAGCCAAACTCTCCACCAGTGCCAAGAGGTAACGCTCTGGCTGTTTGCCTTTTTAACAAATCTGCTTTAGTGGTGCACAAATTGGTGTTTTGAACGTTTTTGGAAATGTATTGACACTAATGTCTTGTTGGTGCTGCTTTACAGCAGAATTTGGCTTTGATGAAGTTTGCATTGCTTCTGTTATTTTACTCTGAAGCTTCTTTGAAACAATCTGTATTGTTATATAGCTGACTTGATTTGACTTGAGATTGACCCAGCAGCACCAAAATTGTTTTTCACACACAATTAAGCAATCGAAATTAATCCTAAACTATATCTAAAGTTATTAACGTAAACCAGTATTCAATGTTGTCTGGTTTTGTTAATGGTTTGGTTCCTTTTTTCTAAGTCGCTTTGGATTCAACCGTTGTTGTTGTTGTTGTTATTTAATATAAAAGCATCTGCTAAATTACTAAATGTAATTTAATATCATTTATATATAAAGGTGTCTTGACTTAGTATTAAGTAGTGAACCAACAGCAGCAAAATTGTTTATCATATAAACAAATTAAAATTAAACACTGAAGGAACAACATCTACATTACTAAGATGAACCCATATTAAATTAGCTTGCTTTTGTTCCTCTTTTGTCTGCAGAATCATAAATGTAAATGTCACACAACCTGTCCATCTTGGCATTGCTATGATTTGGCTAATTTCGACCAAGTGATGGATTCGACACCATGGCTTTTGTTAGTTGTTTTTCTTCCTTTTTAATAGTTGACCAGTTTATGTATTTCACTAGCCTACACTCTAAAAAATGCTGGGTTAAATACAACCCAGTGCTGGGTAAAATAGGGACAGACCCAGCAATGTTTAACCCTACCTTCTGGGTAGTAACCCAACCGCTGGGTCAAAACAACCCAATTGCTGGGTTTGTCTCTATTTTACCCAGCACTGGGTTGTATTTAACCCAGCATTTTTTAGAGTGTAACTTTGCATGATTAGCCTATATGGTTAGTTTTCCCTGTTAGAAAAGAAAAATGTTATTAAATTGTGCTGGTTTAAGTTCTCTTAGGAAGTTTTATTACTCTGCAAACAGTCAACCCTGAATTCATTTTGGACTGTCCATCCAAAGCAAACTTAAAAAAACCTGATATAGGTTTTTAAATTGCTCTTTTGTACTATTTCAGCTTGTTAGCCAGGGAATCTGGCATGGCGTTAAAGTACGAACCAACCAACCCTGTAAGAAAAGACCCCCGCAGCCCATCAGTCGAGATGCACTGGTCTGTGTTATAAGAAAAGTGTAAAAACCTCTCGGTGTCAACGCTTTCAACTTGCAAACAAAATAACATGTTTGGATGCTTTTACACCGGAGGGATCTGTGCAGTCGCTCTGAAGGATGTATGAACACTACATTTGTTTGCAGATGATTGGAGCACGCTGAAGTTTGCTTCACTGCATTTCTGTTGTTCTCTACACGCTGTTTCACATTAATTCTGTGAACGGGCCTCGCTGGCAACACTGTAGATTCTCTGAAGGCCTGACTGCAGTACGATGGCATTATGCAATCAGTTGAGCAAAGCTTTGCCTGGGATGCGGTGCTTTCTCTAACAGTGACTGCAGCATCCCGTTCCGTCTGCTTTCGAGTGCATATCAAGATCCAAGCAGGCCGATCTGGGCTGAGGATGGTTTTTGGCTGTGCTTGATGTTACACAGTTCGAGAACCCTCAGGGTTTAGACGTCAACATCAAAAGTGTGTCTTCATGAAAGAAAACTGTGTTGATGTTTTGGGCCTCCAAATGAAAACCATTAGCTTGTGCGTTTTTACTACCAACGGGAATCGACTCCGATTCGGCTAAATGATTGTGGTTTGTTTGTTAAAGGAATAGTAAACCCAAAAATTAGAATTATTCACTAACCCTCATGTCGTTCTAAATCCAAACCCACATGCTGTCGGGTTTTTTTCTGTGAAAAGGGGAGTCTTTATGAAATTATGGATGCTAACGTTTGTTAATTCTGTGGAAGAAATAATGATCAAAGTTAAAAACAATTAAAATGTTCAGATTATGCAATAAATTCCGATGTTTATCAAGAACATACAAATAAATGTATACTATTATTATTTATTGTTATTATTATTATTATAAAAAACATTAACTAATTTTTATAGTTTATATTACAATATATAATTTGTATTTATTTTGCAATAATAATATTTAAGGAAATTATATAATTTATTAAATAATTTGTATACACTGTATAAATTGTATTTAACTGTAATAATGCTAATAAAACAATTATTATTATGAAAGAAAAATTATAATTATTTTTTAATTTATATATATTTATTTATTTTTGTATATAATTAGTATTTATTATTTTTTATTATTATATAAAATATTTGTAAAAGTCTTATCTTTATTCCCGAGCCTAATTTTAAATAGTAGGTGTACTACAGTTACATATTGACATTTATGCATGCACAGCAATTACTTTTATGTCATAAGCCAATTTGGTGTCATAAATCAATATATTTTCTGAACAGCTTACTCTTATTGTTGCTTTTCAGTGATATAGTGCGGCTTAAACAGCCACAAAGAGCGAGCCACTACTCAAGGTTGATGTTTTGATGATGTATGGTTTCCTGTTGTAGCTGACTGTCGAAGGAAACGTGTGTTTAAATAACAGGCCTGATGGTCGCAGTTACTGTGTGTGTGTGTGTGTGTGTGTGTGTCACTTTTCTTGGAAATGAAAAACCGCTTGATTTCGCACGCCTTCGCTCGCTTTGACCTCTGAGATAACAAACAGGTATCGCTCGCAAAAGAAGTGCAGTGACGGATAAATGTACGTTTTGAAAATGGTGAAATCCATTAGATCACCTACTCGCTGAAAAGCTACATTTAAATGCATTTAAAAGTGTTTTACAGGAAATTGCGACGCTCAATTTGACAGCTATGAATGAGAAACATGACTGGTTTATCCTGTTTGGTGTGAGGCATTATGCAATTATAGATGCTAATGATTGTTAATTCTGAGGAAGAATGAACAATCATAAAAACAACTCTGTTTGTGTTGCATTCCAATTATGCAATAAATTCAGATTACAAAATTAATTTACAAATAAATTGCATGCAGTTACAAAACATTTAATATACAATTCATTTATATTATTATTATTGAATAATATTTAATTATTATAGAATCCAATTATTATTGTTTATTATTGATGCTTTATTTATAATAATTATTTTATTTAATAATAATTAATCATCATTATCATTTGTAAGTTGTGTGTGTGTGTGTAATGTAATTGTCACTCACATAAATAACCAAACTCTTGAGTGTATGTACAGAATAAAATGTAAGCATTTAACCATATTTAACATCTGCATGTACGTGTCCTTTTAAATGAACGATCTCTGCTGAATTAATGAATGCGTTCTTGTGTTGCAGGATTCAGAAGGAGCTTGCAGAAATCACACTTGACCCTCCACCGAACTGCAGGTAAGCGTCTGCTGTTTGTAAACGTGCTGCTCTTTGTGCTGGCCTCCGCCGGGGAGAGAGAGATAATGGCTGAGAGAGGATAATGGTTATTGTGTGTTGATGAGGCTGTCAGGCGGGCGAGTGAGAAGAGAGCCGCCACATGTGCTGGATGAGTGACTGGGGCTCCCCGGGGGGCCGCCGAGGAATACCAGACCTTAATAAAGCGCATAACTGGAACTGACATTGTCATTGATTGCCCTCATGTTTGTATCAGGAGAATAATTACCCACTAGCCCTTGCGTTTAGAGACTACATTTCCGAGCGTCACGTGAGAGAGATGGGATAATATGTTTGTGTATCGCGGATCTATTTGGATTAAGATCTCACCACTACGATGCTAGGTGTTTGTGGGTGAATTTCAGGGCATTGACACATGGTTGCTAAGGTGGTGTTTTGTTGTTGTTGTTTTTAAGGATTAATATCTAGCAAGCAAGATACAGCTTAATGAAAAAATAAAAATTATTGAAATCAGATTGACTGATTCATATAATCACTTGATTTAATAATTGTTGTTGTTTTTTATTTATTTGTTTAATAATATAAATACTGTTATTAATGTTTTGTTTATAATATATATTAAATATATATATAGTTTTTTTTTTTTTTTTAAACATTTATCTGTATTCCTGATCCCATATTCTAAACCAGTTTAGTACAATTATATAATGACATTTATACATCCACAGGCAGTTATGATTTGTTTGGTGTCATAAATTAATTTACTTATTTTTTTACTTTCTTTAATAATTATTATTATTATTGGTGTTATTTCATAATTAATGAATATTTATGTTTTAGTTATAATAAGTATTTTATTATTTTTATTCATTTATATTTGAATCTTTGTATTTTTTTTATTATTATTTTAATAATAAAAAAATATTTTAATTTAAAACATCTGTATTTCCAACCCCCTTTTTTAAACTTATTATTATTATTATATAATGGCATTTATACATCCACATGCAGTTGTTTCTTGAGTTATGTGACGAGTCATAAATTAATTTATTTTCTGAACAACTAATCTTCTACTCTTATTGTAATATTTACTCAAAAATCGATAAGAAAATGCACACTATCCATAGGCAGCTGTTAGTAGATTAATTTCCCAGCGATTTCTTCACCTGTTTTATAATCGGTGTTCTGTAATATCACATCATTCATGAGTGGAGCACAAACGGTGTGAGTTTCACTCCAAAGTGCCACTGTTTCTATTTAGATTATCCAACAATATCCATGTCTTAAAGATAATATCACTGCTTTCAGAATACATCAGTGACTGTAACTGGAGATCACTGATAAAGCTGTCATATTCGGCGCTATCACATTCATAGCTTGGAGCAACACGCTGAAATCTTCACTTTTAGGAATTATTGTGACAGTGAGGGATGTTCTTATGGATCATATCTTATATCGTGGTTTCTTTTCATCCTCTAACTTCATTCATACCTGAGAAATGTGTCCCTTCTGCCAGACGAATGAAGCACCAGATGCCAACGTAATAATAAATCATGTTTACTTTGTAAGCTGTTGGCGAGATACAAGCGAGAATTGAGTGGTGCTGTTTTTGTGAGAGTGCATTCCATTCAACTCTTACCGTATCAATAAGAGCGTCTCCAAATTGATATAGAGTTGATCCCGGCTGCAAAAGAAAGCTGTAGGTGTTCTTTGGATATTTGTGCACAGGTTTTGTGCCTGTGAGCTGAACCGACGGTAATAGGATTTTGTCAACAAAGAGAACAACAGGCACCGTTCGAGACTGGAATAAATACTGTAACACATTTTTTCTGGCAGCATATTGTGAGTGCTATGCTGTTGTGGAAGCAGCTGCAGTTTCACAGGGAGTGAATGATGCTGTGAGTTGTGATCAGGCGACAGGACATACATTAAGGGGGTCATATGATGTTGCTAAAAAGAATATTTGGTGTAATGCAATGCGTTTATGCGGTTTAAGGTTCAAAAAACACATTATTTTCCACATACTGTACATTATTGTTTCTCCTCTATGCCCCGCCTTTCTGAAACACGTTGATTTTTACAAAGCTCATCGGTCTGAAAAGCGAGGTGTGCTCTGATTGGCCAGCTATCCAGTGCGTTGTGATTGGCCGAATACCTCAAGCGTGTGACAGAAATGTTATGCCCATTACCGTACTCTTTCCCCATCATACAGTCTATGGTTTCCATGTGTCCAGCGCGACGAGACAAAACCAATAAAACCCATTACAAACAAGGCATTTGTTGCATCCAGTGGGGACATAATTACTTATTATAATGACTTATACTGTGTTTTTACGCTTTGCGTTGCATATTGCGCCGCGTAAACCCAAAACCATGTCTGCATTTGTGATCGGCGAAATGACAACAAGAGCTACTCTACACTGCTCAAACTCGCGTTTGAATCGTCAGTGGCAAATTCTTTAAATATAAAAAAACGTACTTCCAAGCTGGGAGTCAGAAGCGCCAGACTGTCCTTGCAAAGTTGGAACTGCCCCACTTTATTGAAACATTATGTCCTCTTTTGGAAGGCCAAACAAATTAGTTTCGCTTTCACAACGAAACACACAGAGGCTTGAGTGAGCAGCGGCCGGCGGATTCAACAAAGGAGGCTTGTGGCAACCACATGTGACGACCCCGGGCTGGACTCCGCTTCATCCACGGTGAAAGCCGATCTGGTGATCCACAGCGCGAAGCTGATGTTTTTCCTCCGCAACCAGCACGGATCAGCTCCAGGCATGAGGAAGCGGATATCGTCCTCCTTTTGGAAGACCAAACAAAGTAGTTTCGCTTTCACAACGAAACACAC